AAAAGTATGGAGAAGAAAAAGAACAGCTCTCAATCCAAAGCATACCACATCATCTGTCAAGCATGGTGGAGGAATATGTTGCTGCCAGTCGAACCGGGTCAGGTGTTTATTGAAGATGTGACTACTGATAAAATTAGCAGAATGAATTCTAAAGTTTAAAGAGCTCTGTTCTCTGAGCAAAACTGATAGGATGGCGCTTCACACTCCAAATGGATAATGACCTAAAGCGTACTACAAAAACAACCCAAGAGTTTCTCAAGGCAGAGAAATGGGATATTCTTTAATGGCCAAATAGCTTATCTTATCTCAACCCAATAGAGCATGATTTTATAGTTACTGAAGACAAAATCGAGGCCAAAGAGACCCACAAACATGCAGCAATTGAAGGCAGCTGCAGAAAATGCCTAGCAGAGCATCTCAAGGGAGGAAACACAGCATTTGGTGATGCCACTGGGTTCTAGACTTCAAGCAGTAACTGACTACAAAGGATTTTCCACCCAAGTAATGAAACAATTTATCTATTTATAGTTATGTTAGTTTGTCCAATTACTTTTGAGCCTCTGAAAAAGTAGGAGGTGTATAAAATCACATTTTGATTGTTTGATTTAAAATGCACTGTGGTGGTGTACATAGACCGACTTAGAAAAATGTATCACTGTCCAAAGACGTATGGACCAAACTATAGCTAAACTCGATTGGAGAAGATAAAACAAAACTGTGCAGACTGAGCCAGTAACAGCAAGGTTCAAAGGAGATTTACTTCACTTTCACGTTGTCTTTACCTTTTAATGAGTCAGTCACACTGTAACAGTTAAATGCAAAGGGTGCGCAGTGAATTACCTGTCTGGAAATGTATTACAAGATGTTCAGATGGCACTGACACGCACAGGCTGCTTGCTGGTGCAGATACTTGACACATCAAAAGAATATGCAGTAGACAATTGTTATAAGCTTGAGGGGATGTGCATGAAACAGTGATTTTAAGTGAAACTCACACAGTGATTGTGGCTATACTCTTAGAGAAAATCACACCACACATTGGAAACCAATCTATACTTGTTTCTTCTCTATAATTACCCCAGAATAAAATCATTTCCAAATCCACACACAAACACTGTCCATTCCACTCTGTCGTTTTGCCGTCTTTAAGCTCGTATTGTCAAATGATAGTAATCAGTCTGGAAGGGCACCGTTTCTGTTCAAGTAATAGTAGCTGTCATAGCTTGTGATTTATCGCATGTTTAGCAAGGCCATGAAGAGATAATGATCTACACAGATGTCAACATATTCATGAGCTGATCACATCTCATCAGCTCTTTTCGATTAACTCATAATTGATGGCTCTCGTGTGATGTCTTTCCTCCTGCCAGTGTTAGCCACGGACTGTGACTCGGGGTTAAATGCTGAACTCACCTATTACACCCTGAGCCCGGACTTCAGCATTTCACCCCACGGGACTGTTTTCCCAGCGAGACGGCTTGACTATGAGAGGCCTAATCATCTGTATGAGTTTGTGGTGATGGCGGTGGACAGTGGGGACGAACCTCACTCTGGCACTGCCACCGTCCGTGTGAGGATGGCGAATGTCAACGACGAAGCCCCTGAATTCTCCCAGCCTGTGTAAGTAGTCTTTTTT